TCAAGATATTGGTATATACCGCAGATAGATAGATAGATAGATAGATAGATAGATAGATAGATAGATAGATAGATAGATAGATAGATAGATAGATAGCAAACTCAGATATGGATATAATAAACAAAATGAAATGCACCATTGGATATTGAACATAGATAGATGGATACCTAGCAAATTGAGAAATATAGATATAATTAACGGACTGAGAGAGACAATTAGATATTGAACAGACTGAGATAGATAGATAGATAGATAGATAGATAGATAGATAGATAGATAGATATCAAAGCAATTCAATTTTATTGCAATGATTGACGCACCCAGCTCGGCGTTTTTTCACGGTGAAATAGAAACGTGATGAATCGTATGTACTGACTGATGACTGGTGTGTCTATACCAGTTAGAGTTTCCACTCTTCGTGCGCAAAGTCAGGTTAAATTATGCCCGTGGATAATAATGAAAAGGAGAAAAGAAAGTAGAAGATTAGATGAAGGAGAAACTGAAAAGTTCACTACGTCGAAGACATCCACTTAGAGATGCGTTAGGAAAATCACCGCCGATGAATGGGAAAAGAGAGAAACGAAGAAAACAAATAAATACGAAACGACGGTGAAGAGAAAAAGACTAAAAAATATTAGAAGAAAAAGGAATCACATTAAAAGCAAAGAAAAATGCAAAAGATTTGATATCTGCAAAGAAATAAATGGCAATGACATATAAAGCCACATACTTAAATAAGTTACAAAGAAACGGTAAAAAGGTGAAATGGGTAATTTTTTTATGTCGGGTTTTCAAGTGATTTATTTTAAGCTATATTTTATGAGCATATATATATATATATAAATATATATATATATATATATATATATATATATACTTATAATATATATATATATATATATATATATATATATATATATATATATACTCATAATATATTTTAGTTTACTGCCTTTCTGTCACCAATTGTTCGAATGAGATTTTTCCACGGGTAAAAAGTTCGCAAAACTTCTAAATTTAGAAACGCGTCTTTTATAACATTTTTCAAGTCAGCAAAGTTCCACATTCCGATAGTTATTCTTATCAACCGTATAGAATCGAATAGAAGCTGATATATTTTTTTATATATTTTGACAAAGAATTTGAAATGTTTCAAACATGATCTGTGTAGAAAATTAGGGCGAATCGAGTAGTTAAAACGAAATTAAGATATGAGCCTCATACTACAACTCGATTAAAAGCAACCACGAAATTCAGTAATGCATATATCAGACCTTTTTTAGTGCCGTTTTATTTCTTGCATCATAAATCTACAGCACACAACTGTTTCGAAGTTCAGTGTCTTACGAGCTGTCTTCACAAACCACTAACGCTGAGCTCTTCACTTTTCTCCATTCACGGTGAATAGTTGCACTCTCAATGTGGCACCACGCCTTGAAAATCTACTAGTTTCAAGTTCACTCCAGACCTCAAGAAGACCTCATTTACGGACCCTTTTCAAAGATCCTGGAAAAATGGTTGGCACATTGTACCACTCCAGGAAGTACCTGATTTTTTTTCTGTCGCACTTTATCTTTACACGAGTCATATTAGACCAAAAGTGGAATATTGCTACAGATCAGATGGAGCTTCTTGATCTTCATTTCAAAAGTTCAAAATCGTAGTCTTATTGGGGTAAGATTTATTTTCCACTCAACAACCTTTACAATTCAGACCATTACTGCTAAAGCTAGCCAAGGTACTTCCACGGAGTCAAATCACCCTCATTTCCTCTGTATTCCGAATATAAGGAGAAAGTTCTACTCAGACAGATTTTTCCCAATAACTTCTTCTGTGCAGAATAGACTCCCTCGGGGATGCTTTCATGCACAGTACAATCTTAATCTCTTCAAGTAAAAGGTAGATTTTTCTCTATTTATCCTCCTAATTTTCTCTTTCTACTACAGCCTCTTTCATTGAATAAGAGAAGGACACTTTAAGTGGGTTAACTAAAAGGGAACCCCAATAGCCTCCTAGACCAGTTGTCACCCAAGACTATATGCTATTTAGCTATGTTCATACCTTTTCCAAAGGGTGTTAGCACGTAAGTGAATGTAATGGATCCAAATGGAGTTCGAACTCGGCCGTCCGATTTCTCAATCCGAGCCGATATTAATTACTCTACCGTGCCGCATCATATCAAGCAAATCATTCATCATAACTGTTTTAAAAATAACCATCTACCTTGAGTGGCTCTGGAGCCTCGTATTGGACAAAATTTAATAGATAAAAGACTCGTTAATTAATGGCGGAGAACAATTTCAGTGCATGGGATATATCTATGTTTAGCCAGGCACACGGCTAGTAATGACAGGTACACATCGAAAATAAATTGGTTTGGTTTGATTTGTTTTACGGCATATCAATTTCAATGGGTTATTTAATGTCGACAAAATTTTTATTGCTGGTAATATTTTTTTTCAAACATGTATTGCTAGTAATATTTTTCCTTCAAATAATCTATTTCTGATAAAATTTTTATTGCTGGTAATATTTTTTTTTCAAACATGTATTGCTAGTAATATTTTCCTTCAAATAATCTATTTCTGATAAAATTTTATTGCTGGTAATATTTTTTTCAAACATGTATTGCTAGTAATATTTTTTCCTTCAAATAATCTATTTCTGATAAAATTTTTATTGCTGGTAATATTTTTTTTCAAACATGTATTGCTAGTAATATTTTTCCTTCAAATAATCTATTTCTGATAAAATTTTTATTGCTGGTAATATTTTTTTTCAAACATGTATTGCTAGTAATATTTTTCCTTCAAATAATCTATTTCTGATAAAATTTTTATTGCTGGTAATATTTTTTTTCAAACATGTATTGCTAGTAATATTTTTCCTTCAAATAATCTATTTCTGATAAAATTTTTATTGCTGGTAATATTTTTTTCAAACATGTATTACTAGTAATATTTTTCCTTCAAATAATCTATTTCTGATAAAATTTTTATTGCTGGTAATATTTTTTTTCAAACATGTATTGCTAGTAATATTTTTCCTTCAAATAATCTATTTCTGATAAAATTTTTATTGCTGGTAATATTTTTTTTCAAACATGTATTGCTAGTAATATTTTTCCTTCAAATAATCTATTTCTGATAAAATTTTATTGCTGGTAATATTTTTTTCAAACATGTATTGCTAGTAATATTTTTCCTTCAAATAATCTATTTCTGATAAAATTTTTATTGCTGGTAATATTTTTTTTCAAACATGTATTGCTAGTAATATTTTTCCTTCAAATAATCTATTTCTGATAAAATTTTTATTGCTGGTAATATTTTTTTTCAAACATGTATTGCTAGTAATATTTTTCCTTCAAATAATCTATTTCTGATAAAATTTTATTGCTGGTAATATTTTTTTCAAAATGTATTGCTAGTAATATTTTCCTTCAAATAATCTATTTCTGATAAAATTTTTATTGCTGGTAATATTTTTTTCAAACATGTATTGCTAGTAATATTTTTCCTTCAAATAATCTATTTCTGATAAAATTTTTATTGCTGGTAATTTTTTTTTTCAAACATGTATTGCTAGTAATATTTTCCTTCAAATAATCTATTTCTGATAAAATTTTATTGCTGGTAATATTTTTTTCAAACATGTATTGCTAGTAATATTTTTCCTTCAAATAATCTATTTCTGATAAAATTTTTATTGCTGGTAATATTTTTTTTCAAACATGTATTGCTAGTAATATTTTTCCTTCAAATAATCTATTTCTGATAAAATTTTTATTGCTGGTAATATTTTTTTTTTCAAACATGTATTGCTAGTAATATTTTTCCTTCAAATAATCTATTTCTGATAAAATTTTTTATTGCTGGTAATTTTTTTTTCAAACATGTATTGCTAGTAATATTTTTCCTTCAAATAATCTATTTCTGATAAAATTTTTATTTTTGGTAATTTTTTTTTCAAACATGTATTGCTAGTAATATTTTTCCTTCAAATAATCTATTTCTGATAAAATTTTTATTGCTGGTAATATTTTTTTTCAAACATGTATTGCTAGTAATATTTTTCCTTCAAATAATCTATTTCTGATAATGTTTTTTTTTTCAAAAAAGTCTGGGTGGTAAATTTTTGTTTTTTGCCTAAAATGTATTGTTGATAATAATGTATTGCTGGTAATATTTTTTTTACAAAGTATTTCTGGTATTAAAACCTATTTTTACACTTACATAGTGTTTTGACCCCAATTTGGGGGTTAACTATTTGCTCATATCTGGGACCCTAACAGGTGCTACCACCTCGGGTCAGGGTGCACGGGAACACCAGCAATTAAGAGGTCGTTCCACACTCCTCAAAACCTCCTGATCAGAGGCCTTGCTGTTGGACGTAGTTTATCGTCTTATCTAGGATGCGGGTGTAGTTTATCGTCATACCCAGGACGTCGAGAATAGATCTCACTACTGTCATATAATGGGTGTTCCACTTGTACTGAATGTTTTTGTCTTATATTTTATTCTCTTCTCCCTTTCTCATTGTTTGTTTTAAGAATCAGTGGCACAGTGAGGCAAGGAAAAACACTGAGCAATCTACCTCAGAAAATTGTGTAAACAGATAACAGAACATGAACTAGGAAGGGTAGTAAGGGGGTAAATATTGTTTAGAATTACAAAGTATAGAAAGTTAGGGAGAGACATGATCACTTACGGCATATAAAAAAGAAGTTCTTCTCGTCTTATTAGTTGATTGGCTGGCTGCTTTTATTTAGCGTCATATCATCCCCCATGAGTTAATGCCGAAATCTAAATATTTTGTACGCAATTTTATTATTTATTGGATATAATAATGGTTTTAGTGATAAATGCCTTACTAATTAACCCATAGCAGGAGGGAGAAGAGGTAGATTTTTAACTTTTCCAACGGTATTGGCGCATAAGAGAATATTAAGAACTGGAATTATCCATTACACCAGCCGCACATCCAAGTTTACAGCACTTGGTATTCCCAAGCGTTTACTCATTTAGGTACTGACCAGGCTCGAAGTTGCTTAACTTTGGTGATCGTGCGGTAACCAGTATTACAACGTGATGTGGATAAAAGCCTTCGCCTTATTGGTCGGGCATCAACTATATATAACACAATTCACTTTCCTTTATATTTTTATTTCTTTATTCCATCTCAATCGATACCCAAAACTCCGTGTTGGGGACTTCATATTTCCAAGGGTTGTTATAGTACGTGCCCATGCAGGGTTACATACATTATATTCCAAAGTGGGACAGGTACTCTGCTAACAAGTTTAAATTAAGATTCTGATATGTATCTAGAGATTCCTCACAGAATCCAGTGAAGAATCTACAATGTTATCGGTTCTTACTTAGCATGTCGACTTCAGTCACTTTCCCACCACTGTAACGTAGCTTCTGTGTTCCTTTTAAATAAATACTTTTATGGTAACTGTTCTGATGAAATTTCTTTTTTGCTACCCGGACTTTACGAATTTAAGCGCAGTACTACATTGGCAGCTAGGTCTCAAAATATTACTGTTGAAATTTCTCAATTTAAGCGTAAGTTCTATACTAACAGTTTCCGATGTTTCACTTTTTGATTGTAGCTTGATTGATTAGATTTCTACGGCTTATAAATACTTTGCAAGTTATTTAAAACTAGAAAATATTTCTAGATCGTAAGATTTTTAGATAATAATGGTACTAGTGACATAAGTCTTAAAAATCATAGCTAGAGGAGAAGAGGTGAGTTCATACATTTCCCAAGGTATCTGCGTGTAAGTGAATATATCGAACCCAAATGGAATTTGTACTCTGCTCTCAACTGAACAATTCCAAGCCATTATCCATTACACCACCCGCACATAAAATATTACAACACCTGCTATTTCCAAGAGGTCACCCATTTCGGTACTGACCAGCCTCGATGCTGCTCAACTTCGATGATCGTACGGTAACCGGTGTTTCAAAGCCTCCTCTCGCTTGTAAAACTCTCTTCCAGTTTCTTGTTTTCCTATAAACTGCCATTTTTCAAACATGTAAATGTGACGTTGTCATCTGTCTTCTTGAATCCCCCCTCTCTCTCTCTCTCTCTCCTCAACGTTTCGCAGTTTCTTTTATTCTCAATAACCCCTTGTCTTTATCGCCTTATCTGGGTTGAAACCTTTTTGTGCGAAGTACCCAAGATAAAAAAAATAGATAACTAAACAAGAGACTGAGGAAAAAAAGAAGCCAAGTTTATTCTTTGATCTTTCTCGACTTTCTCTGTATTTAAAGGTTACCTGGATGGCAACGCATCACTCCGAGGTTACACTTCTAGTAACATCTGTCTTCTCCGCTTGTCTGCTCTTTGTTTCCACGTGTCAGCCTCTTTCTGCTACTCTCCTCCCACTGATCTTGTGACATGGTTTAATCCACTTTCGTTCTACGAGGCGTCATTGGCTACGTCATCTTATTTCAACCACGTCACATCGTCGGTGTGGCATTCTGTTGCTACACATCTGCGACTTTAAACTTTCTTTGGTTTAAACATGCCACTGAATAATAATAATACTGTACACAATAATAGTAATAATAGTTTGTTCAAGTGTAGCTTGCTCCAACATTACGCAGTGGCGAAGTATTCAGGAGGTCATATTTGCAGATTTTTCATTGAAGATTGAGCTCATTCCAATTAACTCATGAGTAACTCTCAATAACTATCATTTTCTCATATTGGTATGTAATAAGTAAAACATAACTAAAATATTATCGTAAATTTACACAATATTAGTTCCCATTTTCCTTAAAACTTTCTAATTGGTCACATACTCACGGGATGGTGTTTTCAGCTTCCTTCTCCTGAACCGCATATATGCCACAAATTTTTCATCTTTGATGAAATTTTCCAGCATTTACTGTTAAATAGGATGATTGTTATTACACAGCAGTTCTGTACTTGTCTTTGTTTTTTAACGAAATTTTCGTTTTAGAATTCTTTGTTTAACATTTGGAAGTCAGTTCTCACTATTCTAATGAGCCTTCGGATTTCCGTCCTCTGTTAAAACATATCCAAGGTCGTTGAATTTCTGCACTTGCTTGATTTTGACATCTGCAATTGACAACTGGCATCCTCTTGCTGTCAACCGCATATTATGCCTGATTACAATTCATGGTTAGTTTTTCTTCACGATTACCTTTGCTCTTTCCCATTCTCTGCAGTTTTCTTTCTTCGCCTGCTATCAACACAATGTCATCCATATATTTTATGTTTTTAAAATTGTGTCCACCAATAACAAATACTGATAGGACTTCTAGGTTTCTTAGGATCGCCTCACCGTATCAGTTAAATAATCTGGCGAGAAGATGCATCCTTGTCTTACTAATCTTTCTATTATTTTTTTTTTTTTCATTTAAATTTTTATCTGTATGCAAGCGATTATCAGTAAATTATCCGGATTATTCTAAAATCTTTTCTAAATTTAACCAATTTTCCTAGGGGTTCAAACAGTTCTTTTTATCTTAACTGATCAAGTGCTTTTGCATAGTCTATAAAGCATAGGTATACCTCATTTTGATTTTGTATTACTGTTTGCTCTCATATCGGAAAAAATGAATTTGAATAGTGAACTGAATGATGAAAATGACAAAAATATAAATTTAAAAAAGTACAAACTACTGTAAGGGGAATAACTCAGAAAAGTATTGCCAAGGCCGTGAGACTACATAAATGCACATAAACAGATTCAAGCAATACAAGAAACAACAACAGCAAAAAAAATGGCGTTTCCAGAGTAACGAAAGTGAATTCGACAGACAGGTAAACAAAGAAAAAAGCAAATGAAAGGAACATGAAAATCAGACGCGAACGAAACGCAAGATTTTTAAGCAGGTTTTATGGGAGTGCAATAAGGAATGTAACAAAAACCGCAATGGTTGACAAACCTAAAAAAAAGAGAGTCGACGGGAAATCGAAGATGGACATAACATCAAAATCAATACATAGCCTTAAAGAAGAACTCTCAGAGAAAAAAAAAAACCTCACTAAAATGCGTCAGATTACGATAGTCTCCGATCGTTCAAAAGTTATATGTCTATACATCAAAGACTTACACAACAATTCCAGCCTGAAAGAAGAAAGAATTCCCACTTGAATAACAAAAGTAAGACGACCTTGATTTAAGAAATCTGCAGCAACAACAACAAAAAAAGTATTGCTAATAATTACAGGCCTATTAGGTCTGTGGTTCTAATGCGGAGAATAACATTTTCCAGAGGAAATTTATGATTCGTAACAAAAGCGAGGATTTTAATCGAGTAAGTAAAAATATGCAAATAAGGAACCAAATGAACGAATTACATTATGTATTGATAAAAAATTCTGAAAGAGATTAAAACAAAGGAGTAGCTCGAAGTGACATGAAGAGTTTTAGCGAAAGACGCCTTCCAAAAGCTAACCAAGGTAATAAGAAACAGGAAAATTTCGTTAGTGTTGAGGGATTCTCCCCTTTTTACACAAATAGAATCACCCAGTATTTACATATACTACGACTACGTGAAGACCCGACAGAGCAAGACCGAGTCGAGTCCAGAGAGACAGAGTAAAAGGTTGTAGGTAACCGGAAGAGTGAGGGTGAGGTAACAGTGTTGTAGGAGTCACAGTGAGTGAGTACGTAGACTCAGTAAGAAGTCATACAGCGATACTTCAATACCAAAGACTGTATATATATTTTGCTACTAACCCGTATTCCTGGAACTACTAACCTCATTTACCAGTTTGTATTATTACGTTAATACATTATTTTCATATATTCATTCCTGGCGTTTGTTATTTATTGGTACCGGATTTCAACACGGAATCAACAACAGTTAGAAACAAAGAAAAGATTACTGAATTGTTATGTAATATCAGTCATCCTATATGGCAGTGAATGCTGAACAATATTTTCATATGAAGAGTCTCGAAACAACAGAAATGTGGTTCTAGAGAAGGATGCTGTGAATATTATGGACTGAACATGTAAGCAACGACGAAGTTTTAAAGAAAATGGAGACAAAAAGGACATAAATATAAATGTCCTTTTTGTCAGAAAGAGACAGTTGAAATTTGTTAGGCACATAATGAGGAAAGATGGCGCAGAAAATTTTGATAGTCACAGGACATACTGTAGTTAATAGGCAGAGACGGAAACAGCGCATAACCTACCGGATGTGCAAATGGTCGACAGAATAGGGTTTAGAAAAGATTACGAAATTACATTTACAAGGTCACAAGAAGAAGAAGAAGAAGAAGACCAAGAACAACAACAACAACAACAACAACTTGCGCTCAAACGCATAGCCAACTTGGAAAGGTAAGCTAGCTAAATGAACACTTGCCAATATCAAAATAAAATAAAAAGACAGTTAAGAGCGATACGTGATAAACGTTTGAGCGATTATATCTCTTATGAGTCATAACTGACTCGACAGAAGATTTTCTTGCATCTGGTTGCCATTTCTTACTGTGGTAGACTGTTTGTTAACCGAGGCTATAGAACCCAGTGTCCTACTATTCATCTCATAGCTGGGGGAGAAAAGATGGATTCATAGCTTTCCCAAAAGTATTTGCGCATAAGTGAATATAACAGACTTGACCGGATTTCGAACGCGGCTCTCCGTTATCTCACTCTGAGCCGATATCTCTTACACTACAACGTATTTTATTGCCATGACTTTTCAGGATATAAACGATCTTGACCCACTACAAATTCCTTTTATCTATTATCTGTGAATTACCATGGATTCTTAGGAGTGATAGTCAAATGGTTTTCTGTTGCATTTCCCACGATTTGGAATTCAGGGTTTTCATTCCCTGATACAGTTTACCAATCAAGAATAGAGAGTGCCCACTAAATGGTTATTTAACCAATAACTAGGTAGAGAAGGGACATGAAAATTTGTATTAAAGTAAGCAAAACAGATTAGCCCAGAATTTCAAATTGGTTCGCCGATTACACTTTCCGTGTTGATACCCGTTACACTACAATCAACACCCGTCTACTACTTTTCATAACAATGATGTTGCACGTTGTGACGGAATTGTAAAGGTTCGAATTGTAAAGGTTCTTTAATTAGCTAGAAAGATCAAGATTGTATTGTATAGGAAATCGAAATTGTCTGCCAATAATTTAAAAAATATAATACTTGGAAACTTTGGTCCAAAGATTAATAATTGCATAAAAGAAAAACAGGAAAGAATAAAAGGCGTTCAAGTGCCCAACAAATAAATCATCAGGAGAGTGAGCGAAAAAGAACGCTAAAAAATATCGGATAATAATCGAAAAAAGAATAACAATTTCGGAAGCAGCAGAAACATGAACAAATGAATAAATACATGGGAAAAATCTATGGTAAGATATTCGGGACCATGCATGAACAAGTACTGAGAACTTCAGATCAATGTATGAGGAAACTGAAGTATATGCGCAAAGTTTTACACCCTAGAGATCAGATTGATAGACTCTACGTGAAAAAAGAAAATGGAAGAAAACGTAATCTTCAACACTGACGATTGTGTAGACCTGACTATCAAAGGATGAGAACTACGTAAAGCATATCAATGAAAGATTGATTATGGAAGCCAAATGCTGCTGTAAGACCAATAAAAACAAATGGAAGATCAGGGAAGTTATTATCTAAAATAGAAAGCGAAAAACTAGGAAGGAAAACATCTATCAGGAATATTTCAAGAGACAAACAAAAGCCATTACAGACGATATAACATCGATATGTTTTTAAAGAGAGCACTTGAAATGATAAACTGAATCCAGAACACTTCTTTAACAGGTCAAGAAAGCGGGAGTGATGTAACGGATATCAGAGCGAAAGGTGGATTCGGCGAACCGAGTTCAAATGCTGGGGAAGGCAGTTGCATTCGCTTTCCCATTCATGACCTCAGGAAAAGCTTGATTATATTTCTTCTACAACCAGCCATGGATTAAATAATAGGGTAGATTAGGCTCTCCAGTCTTGTGAGGCAATGTCTAAGCGAAGGAAAATTTTTAATTCCAAACTATACAGAAAGCAACGGGAAGCCACTCAACTGTTTTCCCAATATTGCAAGGTATTTTATAAATAATAAATAAATGGAAACTGTGGAGACCCATGATCGCCTACATTAGAAAAGGACATGGTGTTAAAGAACTGAGGCCAGAATAGAGAGAACATTTATGTGAAGATGAAAAGCATTTATTATATAAGAAGACAGCAAATTAAGCCTGGCGTGAATAAAAACTGACACGTCTGGGGAGGATATGTTATTCAATGAGAATTGTGCAAACGACTGGTTTTGATCATTAAAGATATAGGCACAGATCAGAATCAGTGTGAGTAAATAAAACAGTAACATTTTGTGAAATTTAGAAATTCAAACTAGTTACTCCATCCAAACTACGAGACCATACCTCAGTGTAACAGGGGGCAAATATATATTAGTTTATGTCGCTATTTCAATAGAACACAAAGTAAAATTGACAGAAAGGGAAAACCAGGATCTTGTCATTGAACTGGAAAAATGAGAGTGAAAGTAACAACTATTTTCCCAATTGCTGATACACCCAAATTGTCTTGCAAAGAGAATGGAAAAAATTGAAACATGAAACAGAAACGAAAACTACAACACTACCATGTTATTAAAATTAGCAACATTACCAAGGAGAGTACTGGAATATTGATGAAGTTTGCTATCTCTAAATAAATAAATAAATAGATAGATAGATAGATAGATAGATAGATAGATAGATAGATAGATAGATAGATGTCGGAAGGCTACACTTTCAATTGCCTAGATAATCATAGTGTCTGGCTGCTTCTATCTTAGTACACCCATCTGTTGAGGGAGGGTTATCTAATTCTTTCTGCAGACGCCTGCCCAGGAAACTTTGTGTCTGTTCAACACCCACGGAGCCCACCTGTGGGTTATACTACAACTATGTTGAGCTGACCTCAGTTACAGTTTCTGGGGGAGAGCGCATAATCTGGCGTGGCCAGTAGTTGAGCAAAGCCAGTATGCGTAAAACCTCGATCACAGGGAATTATGGTTTTCAGACACTTTTCGACGGTGTCACGTGCTGGAATCGTTTCCCCCGGGCCCACATTAGGCTGAAGTCATCTTCGCGATAAATTGACTATAGTGAGATTTGAAGCCGATTCGAAACATTAACGATCTGACTCAATCAGGTGTCCATATATGGAGTGTTTATATATGGAGTGTATCGAGTGTAGTGATGTTTTAACAAAATAACCAACTGTAAGTATTTTTTAGATCGAAGCTTTCCTATTCTTACAAGAGTGAGAATCAGTTTCTGTACGTGAGCTGATTTCATCAAGTTATTATCTTATGAGTGTGATAGAAACGGGCCTTTTAAAAGAAGAAGCTTTATAACAAAATAGCTGGGAGTAGCATAAGATATATTACGATAAAAGTGTAATATCGAAATTGGGTATCGAAACACGATAACAATTATTAACTAATAACAATTAGCAAAAAAAAGACAGCTAAATCGTTCCTCTCCCATCAGAGCAAAAATTGAGGACAAAAATACGCATTACGTCTAAAATAAGTCAAGACAACTGTTACATGAAAGAAAACCTAACACTTACAGATATTTTATATATGGAGTGTATCGAGTATTATTATCGTATATACGAGACCCTTACTTTATTGTAACGAACCAACTTATTAAAACTATACTTTCCTACGAAATATAGCCCAACAGGCTCAATACGCTGGGTATTACTACTATAGTTTCCGTAGCGATGTTATTCACGAGATAAAGTTGCTAACCCCAAGCCTAATTCAAAGTTGTCCTCCGCCAGTACGAGTTTCAATGTTTCTCCTACCTATTTAACACATTGTTGATGGGATGAATTCATAACTTCCCCACGGATACTTGTGTGAAAATGAATGCTATGAACACGGGCGGAATTTGAACTCGGTATACTGATTCCACATTCTGGGTCAATAACAGTTACGCTACACACACATCCGTATTCTAAAACTATTAATGTTTAAAACAAGGTGATCCTTAACTCAGGCCTATACAGCGCGTTTAGCTCTTTATGAACTGTGGGCCAACTGTCAAGTTCGATAATAGAATTGGATTAAGAATTTTTTTTTTAAAGAAATCTTTAATTTTTACCTTTGGATTAAGTTAAGTTGATTATTCAAGATACGGAAGTAATGTTTATTTGAACTTGCAATATTTTATCTTTAAACGAACTTTTTTGGTGCGAAATTCACAAATGTGATTAAGAATTTTATCACATAAAAATAAAAAAAAGTTAATATAAATTAATATTTTCTTTATGCTGTTGTTCTTCAACAATGTCGATATTAAGTATAAAATTATTTTTTATGAATAATTTATGTTTTTCTTTAACGAAACAAACAGTTATTTTTTTTAACTAAAATTATGTTCAATTTTTCTGTCATTCGTAAATAAATAGAAGACATTAAAAACAAAGGGAATGTATTTCGCTGCAAATTAATGAAAAATGACATTAAAGAATTTATCACAAAGTTAATATCAGAAATTAAATTCAATAAATTTGATATTTTACAACTATTAAAAATACACTATAACAATGTAAAGGAAAAGACATTATTGTCTTGTCTATATAGTCCTTCTCTTTTTCACATTTTTCGATTATTCTAAACAGCAAAATTCATTAAAAAATGTCATTATTATGAATTTTCTAACAGAAAGTTAATTACTTTTTTTTCTTTATGCTATTATTCTTCAGAATAACGAAAATCTTGATCATAAAATTATTTTTTTAAGGAATAATTTTTTTCTTTATAACGCGTAAAGTTTGTTGATTCCGTCCTTGTAAGGAAACACAAAAAATGAATGTAATTTTTTGCACGGTTAATTTTCCAAACTTCCTATACAGAAATTTGAAAAAATTTGAATAAAAATTTAATTTAATATTTTTTCTATGATATTACTTTTCATGACAAACGTTGATTTAAAAATATAATTGTTTACACACAGACATTTTAAAAATATGTATGTTTTATTTTTTACTAGTGTGACGTCCCTACAGCCTTCGCTCGCTCCTCGCTGCTTCGTTCGGGTGTCGCTGCTCCAAACGTGACGTCCGCCGGTCTGCGCCAGTCGTGTTGCCCCGTCTTGTGACGACCAACTGGCTTGGTATTGGTCGCGGCACCCAAATGTGACGTTCTAACCTTTTGGTGATTCGGATGGGAATCTGGTCAGATCCGATATCAGCCTCGTCGTCCCCAACTCGCTTCCAACGTCTGGTTACCAAAGTAACTGTGTTGATCTCCAGTCCGCCTACCCACGTTGTGAATTGATCTTAGGCAGACGAAATCAATCAGTCGTTGGGGCCGTAATGCAAGTTGAGTTCAAATGAGTGTGGTATCGCACAAATATGTGTAAAAGAAAAGAAAATAATAACTCAAAAGTTCAAGGTATCAAAAAAAGGATAACAATACTTTATATCTGGTTGCTGGATACATAGGACTGCGTCTATCTCCCGACCCGCTATATGGATTGTGACACGTTGTTTTTGTTAAGTGAGTTTTAACATCTTAAGTTGTCTGTTCTTTAAGAAACTGGTTCTTGGTGTGTCTTCAGACGATAGTCGTAAAACTTATTTTGGTGGTATGGATCTAAGTCGCTCTTCAAAAATAAATTGTTCTTGGATTGAAGATGAGTTCGGAAGTTGCGCGAATCTTACAAGTCAGCTTTGCGAGGCCCACTTCAACTGCGAATTGGAAGCTGATCCGAACTGGACTGAACTGGGAAACTCTCTCGTTTTCGCTTGCTGCGACTTTGCTTATATGGACGCCGACCAAAACCGGGGTGGGCTTTGTTGGGGTTTGAGGTTCCTTGATAATTCCAAATCCACAATCCCCTTCTTTTGTTTACGGTCAGGAAAAATTTATTATTTCCATTTTTGGAAGTCTTCTCTTACCCCTACCTTCAGAGGGTGTCAACGATCCTCCCACTTCTTCGCAGTAACATCTTATACCTATCCTCTCTAAGGAGTAGTGGCAGGCCTCCTCCCCTGCATCACATGATCACCTCCGCCTGGTTCTCGTTAACATTCATCCAATGGTCGATCAACAGTGTGGGCGTGACCAGACTAGCCTTGTTTCTTAAAAAAATATCTTGCTCAAAGGAAAAAAGAATTATCTCCTCTTTTTTCTTTTTTTTTTATTTCCTTTCCTTCTTTTCTTTTCTATTCTCTCTTCTTCTCTGGCCGCCAACAGAACAATGCGACCAGTAGTGTGATAACCTCAATTCTCATCTGGACTTCGTCAGTCAGATTTTCGCCAATTATCAGAGTGGGTGGTCGTCCAGCAAATACGGCCAACCTCTCCGATAATATTGTTTCGCTCTTATCGCTACATTCTAACAAAACCCAGACCTTGTCTAACGATATATTTCCCTCGACAAAGACTTAACCTATTTTTCTTTTTTTTTTTGGGTGGTCAGGCAGTGGGTGACACAGTTAAATGTTTATCTATTCTGTCCCGGAGTTTGGCTAGCCGATCTGGAATTTGTCAATTAGATTTTCGCCAGCACCAAGTGGCTGTTATCCATTCTGTCCCGGAGTTTAGCTAGCCGATCTGGAATTTGTCAATTAGATTTTCGCCAGCACCAAGTGGCTGTTATCCATTCTGTCCCGGAGTTTAGCTAGCCGATCTGGAATTTGTCAATTAGATTTTCGCCAGCACCAAGTGGCTGTTATCTATTCCCGATAATATAAATCCGCCACCACGACACAGTCAATCCCTATCTATTTAGAATTTTCTGCAATGGCAATGAAACCTTTCACCATTTGTCACTATCAAAATTTCATTTCTTTCCCTTCTTTTCTTCCTTTTCTTTGCTTCCCAAATGGTGTCACACTAGCATTGTGTTAAAAATGTAATGCAAAGGAATTAACCAGTTTAATATTTTTTTAAATATACTGTAAAAATAAACTTGTTAATTTTGTTTAGATAATCGTATTTTATGGGGGAGAAGGTGATCGATCCTCACCCTCCCATAAAATACGATTATCCAATAATTTTAATGAGGGAGGTTCAGTTCACTATATAGCGTCAACATAAAACAAACCCTGGCCAGTGAAACAATTTGAAAAGCCTTCAGAACCACATAATTCTTTAAAGGCAATGGAAAGTAACATAAGATAACAAATTCCCAACCAATACAAACTTTAAAATTCTTAATTCTGAATCTTAAACCCAGACCAGGCCTTAGAATATATGGTTCATACACTTTTTAGAAACATCATGAAATTTTTACAAAATAATAGTTTAAGTTAATATTTTTTTTTAATTTCAGTACCCCAAAATCTTTCTCAAAATGGTAAAAAAGTACCGTATAACAGGTTTTCGTGTTAACTATGATTAACCAAATAAGGTTTGTGTATTTTGTTTTCCCTAAGATCAGAACGAGCGAGAACGGTGGATAAAGGCAATACCTCAAGACAACACAAAGTCAAAGAATACAACTTTGATCCAGACCATAATTGCTCAAAATGAGGACATTTGCTGGATGAAACGGGATGCCAAACATTTGATAACTCATCAGACCTTGAAACTAGGAACCATAAAGATATTAAAATGTCACTTTGTCCACAGCAGTCTATGTTACAAGAAAAGATTGTCCCGCAGAAGAGAAAATATTTAATAATATTAGTTTTTATTTTCAAGAATATATTTTTGAAAGAAATAGACTGTGGTAATTTTAAAATTCCACTAAATACTACAGAGATAACAGGTTTTTTATTTTCA